TGTTCCCTCCCACATTGGGTTGTTGCTCATATTGTCTAGCCAGTGAATGTTAGATATTTTACGTAGACAACTGTTAATAAACACCTGTAACTACTGGATGATGGCTTTTGTAGTTCTTCAAGTCTCCGCCCCATACAGTAGAACTTTCTAGACATTTGTATTGAAAATTCTGATCTTGGTGTCGGTTGATAGTTGTTGAGTTGACTTCCAGATATTCTTCAGTTGTGAATATGCTGCTGTTGCTGTGCCGATTCGCGCCTTCACATCTGCATCAGATCCACCGTGTTCATCGATGTTGGTGTCCAGATATGTAAAGGCCTTGTTCTTTTTTTAACTCATAGCAACTACACTACATGTTAAGGTTTATATTTGTGAAAAGTTCCTGTGAATAATTCATTGTTCAAATTAGAATAAATTCCTTATTTCTTTAGGTATATTAACAAGTTTACTTCTGAACTTTTTCTTATCCTCCTGATATCATTCAGAATTCCTTGAATTCAGCCGTCAATATAGAGAAAATAATAATCATCTCAATAAAATTCAACAATTCTCCTCATACAAATATTGTAGTGTATGCTACTTGTATTGATATAAACAGTATATAATGCTAGTCTGGAATAGAATGTCTGGAAGAAAATGGTCATGAAAACTGGAAAGGAAAAAATGAGAACAGAAAGAAATTGGTATGGAAATAAAAGAACAATGAAGTCTGAGACGATTGATTGACATTTTGAAAATGAAGTGCACACTGTATGATTCTCAAATTTTACTGAGAGATTCTGTAATTATGCACTCAAGTACATTTGAGTATCCCCACTTGTGTTCTCGTTCAATACAATATTACTTAATTTATTAACTACTTGTTAAGTTTGTCAGCGGAAAAGGCTGCAAGAGAGGGAAACATGAGACAACTGTATGATACAACAAAGAAATTACCTTAAACCAGAACGATCAGTGAAAAACAAGGAAGGCAAAGTAATCACCGACATTGAAGAACAACGAAACAGGTGGGTAGAACACTTCAAAGAACTCTTAAATCGACCAGCTCCACTGAACCCACCCAACATCAAAGCAGCACCCACAGACCTCCCAATCGATATTGGCCCACCAACAATTGAAGAGATCAGCATGGCCATTAGACACGTCAAGAGTGGCAAAGCAGCGGGACCAGACAACATCCCGGCAGAGGCACTGAAAGCAAATGTAACAGCAACTGCCAAGATACTACACATCCTCTTCAGTAAGATTTGGGACGAAGAACAAGTACCAACAGACTGGAAAAAAGGACTTCTGATCAAAATACCAAAGAAAGGTGATCTTAGCAAGTGCAACAACTACAGTGGCATCACTCTCCTCTCAATACCAGGGAAAGTCTTCAACCGAGTATTGTTAAACAGGATGAAGGATTCCGTGGACGCCCAACTTCGAGATCAACAAGCTGGATTTCGTAAGGATAGATCGTGCACAGATCAAGTCGCAACTCTGCGGATCATTGTGGAACAATCAATCGAATGGAATGCATCACTCTACATCAACTTCATTGACTACGAGAAGGCATTTGATAGCGTGGACAGGACGACACTATGGAAGCTTCTTCGACACTACGGCGTGCCTGAGAAGAGAGTCAATATCATACGGAACTCCTATGATGGACTAAACTGCCAAATCGTCCACGGAGGACAACTCACCGACTCGTTTCAAGTAAAGACTGGTGTTAGGCAAGGTTGCTTACTCTCATCCTTCCTCTTTCTCCTGGTCATCGACTGGATCATGAAGACGTCAACATCTGGAGGAAATCACGGGATACAGTGGATAGGCAGGATGCAGCTTGACGATCTAGACTTCGCGGATGATCTGGCTCTTCTATCACAAACGCTACAACAATTGCAGGAGAAAACGACCAGTGTAGCAGCAGCCTCAGCAGCAGTAGGTCTCAATATAAACAAAGGGAAAAGCAAGACTCTCCGATACAACACAATATGCAACAATCAAATTACACTTGACGGAGAAGCTTTGGAAGATGTGGAAACCTTTACATATCTGGGCAGCATCATTGATGAACACGGTGGATCAGATGCAGATGTGAGGGCGAGGATCGGCAAAGCAATAGCAGCATATTTACAACTGAAAAACATCTGGAGCTCAAAACAATTGTCAACCAACACCAAGGTTAGAATTTTCAATACATATGTGAAGACAGTTCTACTGTATGGGGCAGAGACGTGGAGAACTACGAAAGGCATTATCCAGAAGATACAAGTGTTTATTAACAGTTGTCTACGCAAGATACTTCGGATCCGATGGCCAGACACTATCAGCAACAAGTTACTGTGGGAGACAATAAACCAGATTCCGTCCAGCAGAGGAAGAAATCAGGAAGAAGCGCTGCAAGTGGATTGGGCACACCTTGAGGAAATCAGCTAATTGCGTCACAAGACAAACCCTCACATGGAATCCTGAAGGTCAAAGGAAAAGAGGAAGACCAAAGAACACATTACGCCGAGAAATAGAGACAGACATGAGAAGAATGAACAAGAACTGGATAGAACTAGAAAGAAAGGCTGCGGACAGAGTGGGTTGGAGAAAGCTGGTCGGTGACCTATGCTCCATTGGGAGTAACAGGCGTAAGTATGTAAAGTAAGTAAGTAAGTTGTTAAGTTTGAAGTATGTCTTAGCGGATATCATGCTATTCTCTTTAATGATCAAGAATTGTTTAGGAACCCTGAAGTGTTTTAGGTTCGACTCCTCATAAAGTTATTAGCACTCATTGATGGATTGTCTTGTAATAGGACGAAAAATGCTACCCACTAATATCACCTGGTTTCCAGGGTTAATCGGAGATCGAGAACAATATTACCTACTTATGAGTAGTCAGATTAGCAAAGAAAATTTGTTTCTTTATGATTTGCTCCTTTACGTGGCAATTAAATGACAATTAAATTTCACAAGTCGACAACACAAACCCAAGTGATCTTCTTTTGGAGATTAACCACTGATATATATATGATTGTATTGTTAGCTACTATGTTAAGCCCATATACTTTATTTTAGCTTCTAGACAGGTCAGTTTACCTATTCTTCTTGAGTCACGTTTTGATATTGTTAATTATTCACTTATCGACACTGAATGTTTTTATATGAGCTTATGTGTATGTATATCTTATCTTACTCATCACATGTTTGTAGCTTATTTTTGTGTGGTCAAACAATTAGGATTCCTGGCTTCTGTGCTGGGAGTTGAGAGATATCAAATCACTGAAGACAATGGCGAACGGTTGCTCAATTTCGTGTATTGGTTAAAGTAAGACATTAACACCGTTGGATCCTGACTCAGTGGTTTAAGGGTAAAGCGTTCGCGCGGGAGACTGATAGGTCCTGAGTTAGAATCTCGGAAGGCGGGATCATGGATGCGCACTGCTTAGGAGTCTTATAATAAGACGGAACGGCTGTCCAGTGCTTCCAGGTTTTCCATGGCGGTCTAACTTCGATTGACTCATGATTACAATTACTAAATTACCAAAATCTCCACAAAACTCTTTCTAAAGAAATTTGAAATTATTCGTGAGTAATCTTACAGATCGCATACTCTATTGTAATTATTTTAGAAATATAGTTTATATTACTGAAAAAGTATGAAGTAGTATATAATTTAGTATCAAAACTGGGGAATAAAACTCGGTGATCCTTTTCTATGTGAATTTTTGCAGTAAAGAAAATAAATTCTGTCATTGATTCCCTTCGCAGTTATAAGAGTATTTTTATCATAAACTCAAATTTTTTGTAAACGGAACAACAAACAATGTTCATTTCAATGTCTTGGAGTTCATTATACAGCTTCAATAATACATATGGTAACAAAAATATGAGCTGAGTGGATAACGCGATGGCGTTTGAAACGAAAGGTACTAGGTTCAAGTCCCAGAGTAAACATCAACTCGGATGCAGGTACATCCAGCTGGCGAGTCCTAAATAGGGCGAGAAGTGCGTTCTGAATTCCATTGCTAGACAATATCCATTTTTGCTTATAATAATATGGTTTTGTATAATTTGACTTTACTTCAATTAAATATATGATTTATATCTCATACGTAAACAGTTTTCTTTAACATACCCTTACATTTCACATCTTCATATGATGGTCAATAGATACTTCAATAACTAGACTTAAGTGTTCATTCAATTTTACCTGGAATAATCCAGAATATTTAATGTTATAACGTATGCGCCCGTAATATATATGAACGTGCAATTAAAGAGGAGTGGATTTTACTGATCGGATGCAAATGATACTTGAAATACGTACGAGCAGTATTGGTTGCTATTCGGTCCTTCCTATCTGCCTAGCCCAGCCCGTTAAGTCCAGAACACAACAACATTTAATGATCTCCATCATATTAAAAAACTAATATTTGGATAAAGAATATTCCTTTCGATAGATGCTCTTCTTGATACGCTCTCTTTATCACCGAATACGCACAATATTGATTCCTTTCGTAGTTATAAGAGTAGTTTTATCTTAAACTCAAATTGTTTGAAAATGAAACAATAAATAATGTTCATTTGAATGTCTTGGAGTTTATATCACAGTTACATTAATACTTATAGCAACAATAACATGAGGTGACTGGATAACTCGTTTGCGTTTGAAACGAAGGATAATAGGTTCGAGTCCTAGAGTCAATATCAACTCTGAGATGCAGTTACATCCAGCTGACGAGTTCGAGATAGGACGAAACAGGCATCCAGGATTCCACTACTACAAATTATTCATCTTTGCTTTTAAAACTTGTGACTTCGGGTAAAATCGAAGGAGACCTCACCAACAATAGACTATTCAAATCCCGTTTCTAAACATTAATAAGAAGATATAAAAACAATCAATATCAACTATATCATAAATAAGATTATGAAAGTACTTTTCTATTGTTGCTAATAACAACTTTATTAATATTATTATAATTTATAATAAATATAGAAATTTTTTTTATTTTACTTTCTTTAAATTCAAAAAAGGCAGAACAAACATTATGTAACGTAACCATGTAAACAAATAACCAATCAAAAATAAAGTATCATTGAATCCATTGAATTTACATTTATTGATTTATTTTTAAAAATTAAGATATATATAAAAAGTGATTTGTTCTCTTCATTATTGATTATATCCATTGATATATCCATTGTATACATTGAATTGAAATCCCTTAAACTATAGATTGTACTATATATTCATGTCAAGATTATATCCAGCGGATACAAGATCTCAAAAAGTTCTTGAAGAACTTTATGAAAAAGAAACTATATCACAATTAAATTGGTTTTTGAAATGTCAACAAGCTAAGAATATACATCATGATAATACTTCAGTAAGACCTTCAACGATAGTTGATACATCATTGCCGAAAACTTCATTAAAGAGTTTGCCAAAATCTAATACAGAAGATAAAGAAGATTTAGCTGAACAATCAAATGAGATTCATTTAACTGATAATGTAATAAAAGAACAAAATCATATAGATGCTATTGAATTAGATATGTATAAACCATCTAATGATGTATTAAAATTATTATATGATGGTATATCAAAAGAAGGTAAAGGACGGTAAGTTAATGTATAACCTTTCAAGTATACTATATTCATTAAATCTGAATTTAAGATGGACAATGGCTAGTAGTGGAATCGAGGATTCGGGTTTCGTCTTACTTAGGACCCGTTAGCTGAATATACTTGAATCCTAAAGTTGATGTTCACTCTGGGATTAGGACTCAGTTTTGATCACTTTAAACGCCACCGACTTATCTACTTAGCTACTAAGTCCTATTAGTTTTATCCTATGAGTTTGGCAATATCCGATTTCTGTTATTTTATTGCAAATGAATTAAAGTATTGAAAATGAATTAGCTTTTTATAAGTTCTAGACTTGTTTTCCCAAATTGTTCCTTACTTACTTACTTATGCTCGTCACCTCCAATGAATCATAAGCCGCCGATCAGCATTATCCAACCCACTCTGTCCTAGGCCTTCCTTTCTAACTCTATCCAGTTGTTCATTCTTTTCATATTTGTCTCCATTTCTCAGCGTAGTTTGTTCTTTGGTCTTTCTCTTCTCCTTTTGCCTTCAAGATTCCATATGAGGGCTTGCCTTGTGATATAGTTGGGTGCTTTCCCCAATGTATGTCCCATCCACTTTCAACGCCTCTTCCTGATTTTTTCCCCCACTGGAATCTGGTTTGTTCTCTCTCACAGTAGAATGTTGCTGATAGTGACTAGCCAACGGATCCGAAGTATTTTGAGTAGACAATTGTTAATAAACATTTTTTTCTTCTGTATGATGGCTTTCGTAGTTCTCCACGTCTCCGCCCCATACAGTCGAACTGTTTTGACATTTGTATTGAAAATTATGATCTTGGTGTTGGTTGACAATTGTTTTGAGTTCCAGATGTTCTTTAGATGTTAATATACTGCTCTTGCTTTACCAATCCTCGCCCTCACATCTGTATCTGATCCACCGTGTTCATCGGTGATGGTGTCCAGATATGTAAAGGTTTTCACATCCTCCAAAGCTTCTTCATCAATTGTAATTTGTTTGATACATACTGTATTTTCCAAATTGATATTTGGTATTAATTTTTACTCAACAAATAGGTTTCATTGAATATGTCTGGCAAAACTAGAATCAAGATGTATGATGTAAGATATATGAGTTCTTCAATAAAATGGTAAATAACTCAATTATAATCTTAGAACACTGTCAATTTCATTATAAGTGATGATTTATAAACAGTGGAAATCACTATAATGTGTTATGTAGATTATATTTTCTACGATTTACCATATATCCGTGAATTACACAGCTATTCAGGAACTGATGACATCAATCGTTTCTCTTTATGAGTCAAAAAGCTTGGAATCAAAAATAGTCTTACTCAAGATCTAATTATAGATTTTCTACCAGGGAAGTAATGATTTCATGTGAATCTACCTAAAAAATTATATAATCATTCAATCAGTCATTTGTAATCAATTCCTTATTTCAATACTTAACTGTATTAGTTTAGTTTTCTCTTGTTTATTCTATACTCCTTAAAACTTGCTAAACGAATAAGAATAAGTTATGAATGATTGTGTGTTCTTTTTTGATCCGATAGATGAATATCTTTAGGCTTTTATTGGATCGGTAATAACTTGTTAGTATTCATAATTCATCTCTCACTTATTGAGATTGAAATCTCAGCACGGATTCAAAAGCTCGTTTGGCTTTTGCCAACCTACGTCACCTTTGGCGAAGATGAGATATCCGTCTATCAATTAAGGGACGAGTATACTGCTCAGCAGTTCGCTCTGTTCTACTTTACGGCTGTGAAACGTGGCCATCAAGAGTAGAAGATACTCGTAAGTTATTAGTATTTGACCACAGATGTCTTAGAAATATTGCTCGCATCTGCTAGGATCAACGGGTAAGTAATAGTGAGGTTAGACATAGGGTATTAGGGAATGATTGTGAATCAGTTGATGAGGTCATGAATCTTCATCGACTGAGATGGTTGGGCCATGTGTTACGTATGCCTGAACACCGATTACCACGACTCGCTATGTTGACTAGTATTGGGGATGGTTGGAAGAAAGTTAGGGGTGGCCAAACCAAAACGTGGCATCAAAGAATGAAGTCACTAACTTCTAGTCTGAGTCATGTTTGTAGATGAAGATTACTTGGTTGGGGTCTGCGTGACTATTTTAACCAATGGTTGGAGACTCTAGGTGACATGGCTCAGAATCGATCACAATGGTGTAGGTGTATACGCTCTTTATCTTCCCTTAAACCTTAAGATTAAAATTGCTTCATATCTCTCTTTCTTAATATACTAAATCCTCATATACAACCGATCTTTTATATATTACCAATATTAATTAACTACTTCTATGAATCCGGTGTTGATCTTGTTGTGCTAACGAGGTATAGCAACTTGGACCGATGTATAAATGTACCTTGTCCTACGTTGTAGCTGACTGACTGAGATTGAAAAGTATACCATGAAAGATCATAATCAAAATTGTTATGACTGATCGGTAGAAATGAGTCATTACTGAATTCCAGGACAAATGAAACAGACTACTGCATATATATTAGATGAAAGAGTTATTTAAGTTATCCATTAGTACATACAATCTAACTTCAAAGATATCATCAATGTTGAATGTGAAGAAAATAAGAAAGTAGATTTCCTAGAAAAAATTCAATTTCTCATATTTGTCTTCTTATGTTAGTAGGTGATTCAAAGATACATTCAATAGAAATCATGACTTTGTGATAATATAAGGTTTATATATTACTTTATTTATTCTTGTGAATAGATTAAACCTGCTACAGAATGCTTATTATTTTAAATACATCTCTGACTTTATAATTACTTGCTTACGCCTGTTACCCTTCGTCGAGGAGCATAGACCAACCACCAGCATTCTCCATCCAACTCTGTCCTGGGCCTTCCTTTCCGGTTCTTTCCAGTTGTTATTCATCCTTTTCATATCTGCTTCTATTTCCCGGAGTAGTGTGTTCCTTGGCCTTCCTCTTTTTCGCTTCCCTTCTGGATTCTAAGTTAGGGATTGCCTTGTAATGAACATTGATGATTTCCTTAATGTATGTCCTATCCACTTCCAACGTCTTTTCCTAATTTCCTCTTCAGCTGGAAGCTTGTTTGTCCTCTCCCACAGAAGGCTGTTGCTGATAGTATCCGATTAGTGAATGTTGAGTATTTTGCGTCTCTGAGCATCACCTTATTTGGTTGTCAAACTGACATGAACATTCATGTAAAGTTTAATTGAAGTTTACTTATATTTATTTATTTAAACGCATAAACATTGGTACAATGAGATACCAAATTTATATGGGCCACACTTCGTCATTCGATAAGTGTGAGAGCTGAAATACTGCCCGGGTGCCTAAACCGAAGTATATAGTTCTGTTGGGTGACCACTCCCCGAGCCTTTGGTCTACAAGTCTAATGCAAAAGGTAGTTGAAGAAAGTTAGGAAATTCAATTTCATGGTAGCCAGTGACCAACAGTAAATTCATACGTCGTTTGTTCCCTCAGGATCCTAGAGTCCATGTACGCTATTGGTTTGGAATCAGAGTTTTCCAAGTCCCTTCGATGAACTTTACTTGTCCATCAGCCTGGTTAAACAGCTGGAAATTCTCTCTTCGTCCTCTCAATTTCATAAACGAAAACCCCATTGCGAGAACGTAGTGAGTAGGACTTTCCTGTCAGTGACTGTATACGCGTGACCATGTGAGAGCTTTCGAGAAGGAAAGCGGACTCTACCCCCCTTTCTGCTGTACCATGGTATTTGGGGGCAATTCATGAACATCATATCTATTCCGTGTACACATTCTTAAAAGATTTATATTGCAAAATTTATCTCCAAAATAAAATGAATCTAATTGAATGGATTGTAGATCAGAAATTGATATGAAATCAAAGTTACAACAACTTACTAATTTATGTATGAGATGTTTGTTTAGAAACAGTAAATTACAATATGTTACCATAGTAACAACATTAACTAGTTAATAAAAATCTTCATTCTTCTGTTATGATTTCACCAACCGAAATACGACTTGTCTAATCTTAACACTGTGCCAAAAATGATGAGGTTCGACCAGTATGAGAAGTTTATCGTCCTTATTGGTCCCTTGTCCGCCTAGCACTTCCAATTGAGTCCAAAAACACCAGATGCAGCTTCTATCAGTCTTTGTGATAAGTCTTGCTAATTAAACGCTATACTGGGATCCTAAGCTAGTCTCGTTACGCTCAAGCTAAATCTACACAAGGACTAGAACACGAAAGAAAAGGCACAAAATATGTAAGAAGCACTTTACTCCAAAGGTTCATTTATGTACAGTAAATATAAGGTTTTTATAGTATTTTAGAAGTCTTTGGGTTTTCCTAAAAATTCTGGAATGCTACTAAACATAGTAACAGTGTAGTAATCAGTCAATCAGAAACTTTACATGTGACTTTTCATTTTCGTGATGTTTCTAACTAAACTTCTGGTCAAACGCTTCTTAGTTTTTCCAGAGCCTTTCTTGTCTTTTGCGAGAAGTTTTCTGCATTAGCCCAACACTTTATTAATATAAATTTGAATTGGGAGCTAACACCAACATCATAATGCAAAACGGTTATAATAATCCATCCGTTTAGGAGATATTCCTATGTCAACTAAGACTGCTCAAAATTGAATCTTGAATATCAACAATAGGATAATATAAACCCTTTTACATCGATTAATATTTGTCAGATAACTATAGATAGGATATTGCAGTTTCAGTAAATGATGATGCTAAAAACATCTCCACATAAATATAACAGGAATCTTTCTTCTGTATGATAAATGAATAGAATAGTTGGTTACCTTTTTTAATCCTTACTTATGAATAGAACAGAAAATGTATTAAACAAGCCTTGTATTATCTATAAGAAGCCTGTGCATAGATATGGTTCTACCTCAGCTATCGTAATTCCCGTTCAGTCTAATACAAAATTAGTTTGTAAATGATTTTATTTAAAAAGGGTAGAATGCATATACGCAGAAAGTAATTGAAAAGAGGAGAAACGGAAAGTGTTCATTGAAACATTAGTACAGAAGTGATCTCCGTTACAATAATATAAGGTAGGGGGAAGTGTTAAAACTTGGTACATTTACAGTGCTCAAATATATTGTAGACCATCAACGTTGATGATCTATGTCGAATGATTGGAGGCCTACTCAAGTAAGACGGGAACGGTGTAACGAACAAGCTAACTTCGAAGTCACACCTCGCGACCAGCACCTTACGTAGATTGTTCCATCGACGTATCAAGGGACCATGGATGCATGGGTCAGTCCATGGCGTTTGATTAACTGATGCACGTTGATTGTCCTTGATGTTGACGGGGATCGATGATCTGTTCGAAATTTAGTGACCCAACTGCCGGATGATTTGGCTAGGGTTCAGTGACATCTCATTGGCCCTACAATATATACATAAGAGATGTAAGTAAATTGAAAAGAAAGCTCAGATATAAAGCCAGAAGCTGTTAAACAGGGGAAATTATTCTGAATGAAAAACTTCCATGTTTCACTACAAACCTAAACAGTTTGTGAACGATTGTGAACATAGATACAAAAGGTTGAATAGTCAGGATATATAATAAGATTTCTGACAAACATTCATTCTTATCTAATTCTATCTATACAGTAAATCTAATAATGACACTTTCTTGAGTAGTCAGTAGTGAATGGATAGTTCTATCAAGAGTCTAGCCAAACATGAACTCTAACTTCTTTCTAGAACATTGTAAACATTAAACAGAAGGATACACTAATGATGTTACTCAGAGTTACAATAAAGGCTTTTCAATCAACCTATTTACCGCAGAGAGAGAAATGTCATTTGGTGGACTGTCGCTCAACTTTGTGGATTGGTTGGAGTTAGACATAAACATCATCGGATACCGGCTCAGTGTTCTGTCGGTTAAGTGCTCTGGCGCGAGACTGGTAGGTTCTGGGTTCGATTCTCGCGAGTGCGGGATCGTGGACGCGCACTGCTGAGAAGTCCCATAATAGGACGAGACGGCCGTTTAGTGCTTCCAGGTTTTCCATGATGGTCTAGCTTTAATTGCCTCACGCTTGCAACTATTAAATACATCAGCCTGATTTGTAAATTTATTCTATCATTTAAACATCATTCTAGAGTAACAATTTTAAATCATATTACAACTACCTGGATAATGCTTGTTTTAGTTTTTTTATGAATGGTTTCTGTATTTCAACATTAAGTCATAATCCATAAGATGGTCATCTGAAGTCTGTTTGCTCTATAACTTTTTTCCTATTTTCAGAAGTCGTTATCTTCATGATCGTTATAAATTAAATTTAGAAGATAAATTCCAATTTCCTGTACTTAGTTCAATGGAATATGGTTGGGGTCATGCAGATCTAATTAGTAAATCAACTGCACAATCTAGAAAGTTTGGACGTCAGTGTGTTATTGAAGATTCATTTTGTCGACGAACCGGGATACCATTTAAGCATGGAGCTGGAATGCTTGGTTTAGATAAATATAGTTTTTAAAAAAAAATTGCATTATTGTAACTTATAAGCAAACTTTTTGTTTAACATTAACGAATTTTTAACTTTAAACCTTTCAGGTAAAACAATTTAAAGTGACTAATGAGTTATTTCACTCGAAATAACCCATACATATCAAAAGTGTAAATTTCATATTATTTTATTGTTTTATTTGAGCTACTAATACATTTATAAGTAGCATAAATCTTACTAATAATATTTTTTGTGTCCATTCAAAATTTCATTGCTCTCTTGAATTAATCACATTGTTATTATGATTTAAAAAATGATTGATACGATTGTATCCCAGTGAGTAAAGACGTTCACTTGTCTACAATTAAAGACTAAGATTATAGGTATATAGCACAAACGACTGAGACTGGATTATTATTTCGTTGACAAATCATCGGATTTTATTAGAAATAATTGACAAAAATATTACCTAGCTGCAAGATAATTTATTTTCTGATATGAGATTGCCTAAACGATCCGATTACGATTGAGAAAGTGATGTAAAACTCTTCAGTTAGAACGATGACATAATAAGTGTAAAGTTGTTGTGAGTGCATGTCCCTTTAAAGTTCCTTTTTTTGACAATCACCACAAGAAGAGTTCGCTTGATTACTAAATACCCTCCTGCGTGGTTGGTACTGACGGCGTGAAGAGGAGTATAAATCCAACAGCTTTATAATGCTATTTAACTTTCTTGAAATTTATATCTTTAACCACGTATACTTCTTTTAAAGGCAGTTCACTCTGTTTAAACGTTTGTTTTGTGATGAAAGTGAAGGCAAATATGTGAGACGTTTGGGTTAAGAGTATATAACCGTACGTAAACTGAGACAAAAATAATACGATCCTGTGTGCATTTAAATGAAAAGAAAGAAATCGGCGTAAATTCAGTGACATTTCAAACCTATGGTGACTAAAAGGAGGAAATGTCGTCCCTGCCTCGAGAGAAAAATGAGAATTTTTGACTCATTTCACCTCGGTTTCCCACGTTTTTGCCTTTATTTCTTCTTTTTGGCTTTCTTGGGAATTAGAAATTAACCCAGGCTGATGGTTCTATGTACAGGAGAGTACCCTAAAAATATATATTACATTACCTATAATATCCGACCAAAAGCCGCGTCCGATAAAACAGAAAACTGAACGATGTACATAGGGCTTATTTAAACGCTGGAAATAACATGGGTATCAATTAATTGCAAGTGAAGTCCATTCCTAATTAGTACAAATAAATGATAAATATTATATATAAGTTTGATTATATATCTAACCTCTCGCAAAGAGATTTATGGTATTTCGATGTAATTATGAAAATCATTATATCTGCATGTCACAGTTGGTGTAGACGGAAGATTGGTCTAACTTACTTCGTATATATTCTATCGGCTTAACGCACCTTAAGGAAAGGTATATCAACGGTTGATTCAGGGTACTTAAGATACTCAGATTTCATGGGTTCGTTTCGTCAGACTGACTAAAAGATTAGAAATAAAGGCAGCAAATGTATCTACTCAACAAATGACTCCTTGCAATCGTTAATTTAATTCATACTACTTAATGCACTGTCCATTAGTGACACAGGCATTGAATGAAATAACAACAGTTTAAACACCCACACAATCACACATGGGACTAATAGGTTTACAATTATAAGGACGTGATTTTAGGGGTTTATTTACTAAACATCACAATTTCTCACGAAGAGAACAAACTTGCCAGTATCGTGGAAATAATTCAATGTTCACGTGATGTTTAATTTAACGAAGCCTGAATAAATATTAGAGGCGTGTAACGACATAAAAGCTGCTACGGTACCATAATTTCACTGTAGTTTGTTTTTCTAAAAGCCAACTGTTAAGGCGCATTACTTGTAAATCAAATGTATGAAATTGTGAACCATCGCCCAGTCACTGAATTATACCAGGTTTATGAAAGTTTACAAGGTGTCTGAGCTGTGATCAACAAGTTTGTTTTCTAAGTTGTTTAATCACCTCCGGTTTCATATTTTTCATACTCACATCAGGGTACAAATTAATACAAATTCACATTGATCAAGAATAGCTTGGCATTGACATATTCAGATCTATTATGAGTTTGATTGTACAAAAGATATTTTGCATCGTTTCTTTCGTACTACCTAAAATTTTGTTTCTTTATTTGGGCTACTTGTTTACTCTGAAGAACTGGCTCACTTTAGTTCGCGAAACAACAGAAATGCAATGTTTCTACTCTTTGGGATATAACTATATATATACATATATCTGTTATTGACTTTCTACTTAATGCTGAGTTTATTTGAATCTTGGTATTGATACTGACTTTGTCTTTTGGATAAATTTCACTGCTATTCCTTTGGGAGTGGACCCTCACTGAAGGAGGGATGCTAAATCCTTTAAAGCGATGTAACGTTTTGGAAATCTTCACGTCCCAGCTAGATATCTGGTGGTCCGAACTCCTCCCGGTAGTAGTTATACCTTTATCATGAGCAGCACAATTAATGAGGAAGCTTTATCATAAGAAGTTTGTCTCTTTTTCTTTTCATATTATACGAAATCTCATGTGGGTGGGAACACTTAACCTGGACGGAGTGGATCGGCCATACAGATATGGCCAACAGCCTGTCTTGGCCCCTTTCTAATGGTCTCTTGTAAGCGCCTGATTTTTCCCCGAATGAGTTGGCGTTTGGTATTGTAGCTGTAAATAATTCCCCAAAATCAATAGCTCATTAAGTGTTCGACATTGGATGCTGACCACGTTGTTTAAGTGGACTTGTTTAGCTGAAGGCTTTCGGTCATGCATCCGCACCAGATCACGTTTCAATACTGCGTGGGACACAGCTCCTACGTTTCATTAGCCAGCTCATAGAAAAGGTCCTCGATATATTGGTAACGAATCAAATATATCTTTCCTGCCTCTTCTCGTTTAACTTCTGATTTTCTATCTGACTGGTAACAACCGAATTTAGAAGGTGCTACTGGTATCTAGTTGTAAAACTAGAATATCCGTTGCATCATCATTGGTGAACCCGACGTGATCTGGTACACCAAGTCAATATACTGTGAGTCTGTTCCATTTCGGAATATTATTATTTATTGTTATTTTTTATTTGAATTTTATATATTGTGATATACTTTTTTCGCGAATTTTTTTTTCTCGAATATATTTTACTTAGACATTTTTCGATATCTATATTACTATGACGGAACACTCACCCAAGGTTCTTAAGTTCAAGTCTATTCCCCCTATTTCGATTCAGTTAACGCCATTTTGGCCCGACAATATCGAGTCCTGGTTCTGCTATGCAGAAGCCGATTTTTGCATGCACGGAATCACGGACTCGCGCACACGTTTCCTCGCGGTAGTTAAGGCGTTACCGCGCGAGTTTAACAGGTACGTAACACCTAGTATGTTTACTAGTGATGTTTCCGAACCTTACGAATCGCTTAAGCTATCGATTTTAAAACGAGGAGACCTAACTGATCGACAACGGTTAGACCAACTCCTTAACAATATCGACTTGCAACATGGTTCTGCGACGGACATGTTGCTTAGAATGAAAGAAGTCATCGGCCAACGAACTTTCGATGATGGCCTATTTAGACAACTTTTCTTGTCTAAACTCCCTCAACAGGTGCAGGCAGTGCTTGTCTCATTTCAAAACAATGCCATAGATGAACTAGCTGCATCTGCCGATCGAATCTTGGAAATCACTAGATCTTCTAAGGCCGAGGTTTTTTCCGTCAAAGAAAAACCCCAATCGACCTCGACTGACATGGCCGAACTATGTCACACGCTCACACGATATCTTAGAGTTCGCAATGACCGTAGTCGGTCAAAAACCCCGCGTAGAAGTGCCTCACGTAAGCGATCTGGCTCTCGACCACGAGAGACAGACAATCCCGACTGGTGCTGGTATCATAACCAGTACGGTAAGTTTTCCAGAAACTGCAGGAAACCTTGCAATTATCCGACCCCGAAATCGAGTGACACGAAAAACAGTTCGGGAAACTTCCCAGCCGGCACGCGTTAACGGCAACCGTAGCCGGCGAACACAGCCGCCTCTTATATGTCACGGATGTGACTACGAAAGTTCGCTACCTCGTCGACACTGGCGCAGAAGTTAGCGTTCTTCCAGCAAATCTCGACGACAGACTTCGCGAGTCTGTTTTAAGTTTACAGGCGGCAAACGGAAAGCCGATCGCTACTTACGGTAAAAGGTACGTCTACCTTAACGTGGGTTTACGTAAACCCATACACTGGATTTTCGTGGTTGCAGATGTCTCTATGCCAATCATTGGTATTGACCTGTTACAACACCACAATCTACTCATCGACACACGCGCACGAAGGTTAATAGACGGAAACACTAAGTTGTCCGTTTGCGTAACTCCTTGTTCTGGTTGCAGGTTATCCCCAGTCACGATTAAGCACGCCATAGACCCCTTGTACCAAGCAGTACTCGACAAATACCCCGGGATATACCAATCGCAATCGAAATTACCTTGTGTAACCAGCAATGTTACACATCACATCTCGACTACAGGACCACCTGTATTCTCGAAAGCCCGAAGACTCGCTCCCGAAAAACTTAGGTTAGCTAAAAACGAATTCAACCACATGATGGACCTAGGAATAATTCGACCATCGAATAGTCCATGGGCATCCCCATTGCATATGGTCCCTAAAAAGGACAGCAATGATTGGCGGCCAACTGGTGATTATCGGCGTCTGAATGCTAAAACCATTCCCGATCGTTACCCGCTGCCTCATATTCACGATTTGACAGCTACCTTGAAAGGTACAACTGTCTTTTCGAAAATCGACTTGGTTAAAGCTTATAACCAAATCCCGATGGCAACTGACGACATTCCTAAAACCGCCATCATCACTCCCTTCGGTCTTTACGAATTTCTACGAATGCCTTTTGGTTTAAGAAACGCGGCTCAAACCTTCCAAAGGTTTATAGACGACGTCTTCCGAGGTCTCAACTTCGTACATGCGTATGTTGATGACTGTCTAATAGCAAGTCCGGACAGAGAATCGCATCTCAAGCATCTGGACATTGTTTTCGATCGACTTCAAAGGCATGGCATTACTGTCAACATTCAGAAATGCCAAATCGGAACTAACTGCTTAGACTTCTTAGGACACACCATTGATGCCCAAGGCATCCGACCCCTTAGGAGCAAAGTGGCGGCCATTCTGGATTACCCAGAACCGACCACGATCAAGCAGTTGCGAACTTTTAACGGACTCGTAAGTTTTTATAGACGGTTCATACCTAAATGCGCATCC